ACAACTCCATATTGATTTTAAATATATTGTAAATTTCATGTTAAATTTTTGAATTTTCTTGCCATTCTAGTTAAAAAAAAATATATATATATATATTTTTAAAAAAGTGTATCCACCCCAATATCTACACAACATAAATAAATCCATGTCGTCGAACGAAAAAAAGTAATGCAATTTTATAAAACCACACGCTTGTTACTACTAACGTACGTAATATCTGCGGCGGATATCATCATCATCTGGATATGTATACGAGAGTATAGGCGCGACTTTATTAACTTTATTGCATTTTGACTGCGGTTATTGTTGAATATTATAAATTATTTCGAGTATTCAGAAAAGTTGTCATGCTAACATTTGACATATATTTACGTATTTTCATCATGCGAAGTAATATGGAAGGTGAACTTTTGTAGTGGATAATATAAGTTCATGATAGTAGTTAGGTAATAAAGTTTACTATATATATTATAAGGAATTTATATTGTTTAGAGAGCTGGGAAGTTATTGGTTGTAAGAAAGTGGACCTGCTATATGACTATAGTTCGAAGTACCACATGAGGATAAATAAGTAATTATTTTACATATTTTTTTATTTTTTTTTATATTTATATAAAGACTTTTTATGTATATATACTGATGTATTAAATTCAGCGACTTTAATATTAAAACAGATGCAACTTACTAAAAGTATCAGGTGCCAATTTAACATAGGCAATACTAAGTAAGCAAGGACAACGACCCCTGAACACAATTCGAGAAGGCGTGGTTTCTAGACAACGATAGATGGCGGCCCATTACATACGTTTAAATAATACAATAATTAAGAAAATTGACACAAGGACTAATCGCGTAAGATTGTGGAAATTTGTGGTAGTGAAAAGAACATAGTAAAAAGCATGAAAATAACTTATCGGCTGTAATTTTCAATTTTGTGCTCCCTATAGATACCATATACTTACATAATTTTTATCGTACAATCATTGCTTATTTTTCAGCTAATTATTATTTCGGGGACTGCCACCTATTGTTGTCTGTAAGCAATGCCTCCTTGATTTTTTTCATTGTTCGGTCAAGTATGACTTAAATTTTATAAAATTTGTGGATAGATATTCATCTTCGTAATGCATACTTTTATTTAACAGAATTTGGAATGTCATAGTATATCCTAATTTTTTATGGCTCTTACAGAGTCCTAGACGAAATTTCCGTCCAAATTAAATGTATAGGAGTTCTCCTCGCAGAAAATTTAATCTAGATTAGCATAAACGTTGCCGTGCGCGGTTGCTAAAACATCTAAGTCTGTTTTTACACGGCCTTTTTGTACACGGTTTTAATATAACACGGTTCGAAAATTGAAAATTTTTAATTTTTTTAGACGATTTTATTCCATTTAGCACGATTTGAAATTTTATGTACTTAATTTTTTGTTGTCAAATTTAATTTTTGCGAAGTATGTTCATATCACAAAAAAGTATTTATGAAAGAAAAAAAGTCTGAAACCATCGATAGTATCGATAGTTTGCGAACACTAGCTTAAAGATTTAAGTGAATTCCCCTTTAGCGCGTGCAAACATTTTTTACTGGTCAAAGCAAATGTGAATATCACTAATTTAGGGGAATTCCCTTTATGTATAAGACCAATGTCTTTTTTTACATGATTTTTTAAACGGCTTCTTCTGGAACCAATCTACCGTGTAAAAACAGACTTAGGTGTATATTCCTAGCATAATAATGGAATGCAAATGTTTGTCATCATAAATGCATTTATTGTTTTTAAAGGTATCTTCAGTCGATGAACTACTCAACACAATTATCGAAGCGATTTTCCACTCCGGATCCTCCAAAACATTGTTTAAGAATGCTTCAGGCGCTGAAAATCTTTGACTACGCCTTATGTCTTGATGTGTGATAATAAAAAGAAGTCAGTGCTATATGGTGGTGGACGGCTCATAAACTCCACATTTTGGCCATATGGTGCTGGGTTTAGTAAATATATATGAGATCTCGCATTGTCATGATGCCTTTTTATTCGACTTCGCTTGGCCTTTTCGAATTTTTTCGACAGATCACTTGTTGTGTAACCCTTGTAAGGTGCTCAAGCAGATCAATATCCATATAACCAGTTTTCCCGAAAAATTCAGCAAAATTTTACCTATGCTAAGTCTGGACAAAATTAGTTTATATAATCCAAATAATGATACTCTTATTAATCCGATGTCGGTTGATGCTGCATTTTGTATCAGATTCTAAAATAAACCGAGCGGTATGGTTATATACCAAGACATCTACGATTGGCAAAAATGTATCATCATTGCTAGGGATGTAATTCTTCGGGGGATATCGAGATAAAAAAACTAGAACGTCAGGTTCGAGAATGAACTATATCGGCCCGCATTTAGGCATAGCCCTCACCTAATAATGCCGATTTTCGGTATTTTTAATATGTAGAGTGAAGGAATGTATTGCGATACAAAGCGAAAATGTTAGGTTCGAAATTAAGCTATGTCCGTCCTCAATTAGGCATAGCTCTCATTAAATGGTAACTCCAAATGATCGATATTTTCTACACAATATAATCAATGTTGGTCAGCCTTTTGCTATAGCCCCACATATTACTTTGCCCTGTAAATTGCAGTATTTTGAGGATTTTATACACAGATTCCACCCTACCATGCGTTATCAATATCATCCCACGATCAGGAGTTTCGATGTTTTATGAAAAATCCCTATCAAAAATTGTTTTTCGTGTGCATTATGGCTTACAACAATCGCTTGGTACGATTGTCGGTATAGGTCCACTTTTTGGTATGTTCTATATATCCACACATTGTTTTATACATCAGAAGTATCCAAAGCATAACATAGTTCCTCGTGAGGTGTGTGATGCCATTGCTAATAAATGTCAATACACTATATTGGACTTTTGGTCGTTCTAAAAGTATTCCTATAATATTCTTTAAAAATCTAAGATAATTTGCACACTTAAAATGTGTTCTTCTGCATGTATTCTTTTTATTCCCCCATTTGGTCTTCCTTCCACGCCAATTATTTTGTCATTCCTTGAAAATGTTCTGCAAAAATTCAGAGAATATTCCCAATATTCACATTCCAAAAAATCCAAGGACTAGCAATTTATTACTCTGTCGGTCCTTTAAAAATATTCTTAACAAAACCATGGGTTTTAGTCCGTTGGGCCTTATGAAAATAGCTTAATAGCTTGTTGTTTTTTTTTAATTTTTCCAAATCCAACGTATCATATTCACGCTCCTTGCATTATTTGTTTATTTATTTTTTTTAATTTAAATTTTTACTCTTCCATGCTATTCTAAAACTATTCATAAAAAGATTTCGTCTTTCTAAAATAATTTAAAAATATATATTAAAGCGTTGGCCCTTTAGGTTCTTCTGAAACCCCTTTAGATTATTCTAAAAATATTTCGAATTGGTTAGTCAACTGATTTTTGTAAACATATTGTTCAAAATAAAATGTCCTTATTTTTTTAAAGCCTATTAGGCTGTTTCAAATTGTTCTAAAATTATTCAAAAAATATATTTTAACGTGTTTGCTATTTTAAAAAGATTCTTAAAAAATCCTTTGTCCCTTTTGAAAATATTCTTCAAACATCCACTCTTGCAATATCATCCATTTCGGCAGTTAGAATATTTATAAAAAAACTACGTTTCATATCCCCATTTGAGCTTTTAAATCTTCTTCTTTAGATCCTTCAAAAAATATTCTTTAAACATTCAGACTCTTAAAAAACTTTTTGATATAACTCGAATCTACACTAATTATCTCAAGAACCTCAAGAACTCTCAAGAACTCTTGAAGATATAGCTGAAGGGCTTCTCAAACTTTAAACGCGTTTTTCTATAAACATTTTTTGCGAATGGCGGGCACGATAACTCAAAAACTAACAACCCAATCGATTCCAAATTTTTACACGTCTCTGTGAGTGAATAGCTATCGTATGAACTAGGATAAAGCCAATCGGTAATCTTCCTTATTTTTTAATCTTTCTTACTTTTTAACTTCGTTTTTGGTAAAAAAAACCAATATTTTTGCTAAAAATATTTTTTCAAAGGTCCGCCATTTTGTTGATTTTAGAGCGAAGTCAATAATCCCGTTATATGATCTTAAATACAAAATTTTAGATTTTTATTCCGACAAAAATTTTTTGACACTGGAAGGGTTAATATAAGTGCATAGAAAACAGCAATTGTGTGGGTCTTCAAAGATGAGCCAAACCCAACGAAATTTGTTCGTAAAAGAAACACCTCGAAGCAAAACACACATCGACTCAAATCAGCGTTTTTTTAATCGCCCAAAATGTGGAATTAATCATCAATGTTCCGAAGACAGTGTAGCGAGGTTCGACCTTAAAAAATCATTAATTAGCTCTCGAAAGTGCAATCTAAGGGGTCACGATAACTTCATCAGATTTCGCAGATTCCGCCCTTTTTCTCTGCTCGGTTTTGTTGATTTTAGAGCGAAGTCAATAATCCTAGTTCATACGAGAGCCAGACTCTTTCCGATGTTCCAGTGAGGAGTTATCATGCCCGCCATCAAAAATAAGGACTTTTCAACAACAAAACAATAACAAATTTTTTTTGTAAATGATTTTTCTTCTCTTTTAAATCTTCAATTATATGTGTGCAAAGGTACAAACCTTAACAAGCATTGGTATTGATTTACCAGCCCATTGAAAATCTTGAAAAATTAAAATCGAGAATGGGGGTTCCCTTAATTAGCCCATTAATCCTTATGCTGGTGATTATATATTTTTTATTTAATGGAGTATTCTGATGAACCCCATCATTTCGTAATGAATGTTATCTATATTTGTTTGTATTATTTCTTATTTCCAAGAATAAATGCTTCAAATTATTTTCATCTCACATTTTCCATTATCTTTCAAACTTATATAAACCTTTAACACACCTCTTAACTTTATTCTCTCCCAAAATAAAAAAAATCGTCACGAAAAAAAACTTACCTGAAAACAATTCCAAAAATTTCTCAACGCCATAATTTCCAGGAAATCGATATGATGGATCCTTGATGGCATTCATGTTGTGGACTTTAATGCGTTTTATCATGAATGTGATGTTATCGGGTTTGCCGTCATTGTTAAAGTCTGCAATAAAAAAGTGGACAAACAAAAAATATGAAATAAACGGAAAAGAATGCGAAAGGACAGCAATATATACACCTAATAAAAAAGCAAAAAAATAAAAACAATGATAACAACAATATGGACGTAGAGTTGAAAGTGGAAAAATCAATCTACGTTTGGTCAATTTAAATGTAGTGTTGTTCTTGTCGTTGTACCCATGTAGAACTCTGTGTTTGGATGTGTGTGAGTTTTCCAGATTGTTATGAGCGGGTAGTATAACACACAATACACAATAAATTTCAGTTTGTGACAAAACAAATCCGATTTAAATCTCAACAACATTTTTCGTTGTTATTTTATATGGGTGAGTGTGTGTGTGTGCGTTTGTGTGCACAAACTTTATTCATTTCCGCTTTCCGTTGGCATTGCATTGCACTTTACTACACCACCTACCGCAATGAAAAAAATATGTCCAAACAAAAACGAAATACCCAGAATAGCGAACCGAAAAAATCACAATTTTCCACGGCTAAATAGAAATATGTGCAACAAAAATGTTTCGTAGGTCGAATGGAAAACAAAATTGCTGCTCAGCCCCATGGTTTTCATTATTTTTATGTTGGCTGTTGTGTGTGTTGAACACCATTTTGCATATTGCATTGTCAATATGCAATGTAGAGCCGAGCAGAGAGAGAGAGGGGGAGAGAGATAGAGCAGAAAAAGCAAACTTAACAAAAAAACAAACCTGACTAGAAAATTGAGTTTCTAAAAATTGTTTTTTTTGTCCTAGCTTTTGTTTTGTAGTGGTTTATTTTTTTCGGGGCTTCCTCTCACTCTAACGCTGGCGACCACTACACAACATGTAAAACAAATATTATCCTTGGTGTGGTCTATTTCGGTATTTGTCATCATCATTTCTCATGTTGTAATACACACAGACAAACATTAACAACAGAAAACCTGGGTAGTTTTTGAACAAAGTAATTTGTTGTTGTTTTCCGAGTTTTTTGCGAGTATCTAAAATTTTTTGCGGCTTTTTCTATGTAAATTGTCGCCGAAAAAACACAATCACCAAAAATGCTCAGCCAGCTATACATAACAATATTTGCACTCATTGTCAAAAATTTGGAATTGTTTTAGAGGATTTTGAGAGACGAAATAAAAATAAATAATTGAATAATACACTTTTTTCTACATTCAATGTTTATATTGAAAACATTTGCTAAGTGTTCTGAATGTTTAAATGAAGAAAATAAATTTCCAAATAGGTTCTGACAATATGTTTTTTATCTCTCATCAATTCTACCCCCGTCTTTTTCTAGTCAATTTTGGTAACAACGGACTCAGTAAATTCCATGATAAGGGGAACATGGTACCTACAGAATCGTTCTATCGGTTACGTCAGCAACGAGAAGTGAAGAAGAGTACAAGTACATATCTGGTGGATTGTTCCGCACAAATTACCCAAAACTTGTAATTATTGACCGTAGGAGCATTTCGTAAGGACTCGTGATGACCGACGCGCCAGTCTATCAACAAATTATGTTTTCATAGACTGAATCCAAAATCTTTCGTCATTGAGAGAAGGTCTATTCCATGCATACGAGGGATACTATGAAAGGCATACACAGCATTCGTTCGATGAACACCTGGCCTAAAAAACCTTGTTCTCCCTGGATCCAGCACAATTTCACAGACGGTAAAAAAACATCGCGTCGATTGGTACAAATACATTTTGTAGAAAATTGCGGTGCTTTTAAGACGTTTGTTTATAAGATCGTCACAGCTTCCGAACTATTAACCCTTTCTGTGTTTTTGTCGAATATATTCGACATTTAAAAGTACTCTCTTTATTTGCGATTCTTCGGTTATCCTATGTACAGTTACTATTGATGTTTTTGTTTTTGCTGAAAGACAGACGAAACTGGCCGACGGTTAAAATGAAGATTGCTATTTTTCTAAACTGTATGGCAGTTATACTATCTATGATCTTAAATACAAAATTTTAGATTTTTATTCCATTTTTTTTTTTTTACACTGAAAGGGTTAATATACATGCATAGAAAACAGCAATCGTGTGGGTCTTCAAAGATGAGCCAAACCCAACGAAATTTGTTCGTAGAAGAAACACCTCGAAGCAAAGGGTCGCCAGTTTCTTTGGCATAACTGACCATGTGGCGACTTGAAGGGTTGGTATACCCTTCAATTTGTGTGTCTGAAGAATTCCGAAAGATTCGAAAAATGGGAGATCTCACACATCGACTCAAATCAGCGCTTTTTTAATCGCCCAAAATGTGGAATTAATGGGTCATACGCCGAACGTCTTCATTTCATTGAAGAAATAGGTGGTTCAAAATCGATATTTTGATGGTGTACCAATCGGGGTGGAAATTTTGTTTCGATTATCGATGGGCAGTTGGTGGGCGGTTTAACCAAGGAAGTCGCATGATTTTAAATTATTTTTAAATTATCGGTGATCTCCTTTGCGATCTCCTTTTCGAGAGAAAGAGGTGATAAAAAATGTTCCGTCAATGTTCCGAAGACAGTGTAGCGAGGTCCGACCTTAAAAAATCATTAATTAGCTCTCGAAAGTGCAATCTAAGGGGTCACGATACCTTCATCAGATTTGGCAGATTCCGCCCATTTTCTCTGCTCGGTTTTTAAATGTCTGAACCGGTTTATCAATATCAAGTAGACTATGAAGTTCACTATCCGCTCCATAATTCAGGTCGTTTTTAGAAGACTCCGTACTACTGGTAGTCTATGAAAGACTCCTTTCAGTCTACGACAGACCCCTTTAAGTTCGTCTATAAAAGACTACCAATAGAGCGACTATAATGAATCAGTAGTCTATAAAGACACCCTTCAGCTCGTTTAAGAAGGACTCCTTTCAGCCCTTTTAAGGAAAACTACTATAAATTTATGAAAGACTCACTTCAGCTTGTCAATGAAGGACTCCCTTCACCTCTTCTATGAAAGAGTTCCTCCAGCTCGTCTATAAAAGATCCCCTTCAGCTTGTCTACGAAAGACTCCCTTCAGCTCGTTTTCATCTATGAAAGACTCCCTTCAGTTCGTATATTAAATACTCTCTACAGCTCCTCTATAAAGACTCCCTACAGCTCTTCTATGAAAAGTCTTCCTTCAGCTTTTCTATGAAAAGGCTCCCTTCCAATCCAATGGTGCGTTGTTTCTATGCAACGATAGATGACAACGTCTTTACCTAGGACAGGTTACAGGAGACCAATCATAATACCTGATTAACGAAATTAATACAGGAATTACTCGAGTAAGATGGCGATGCTTTGTGGAAAAGTGATATGCTCCTAAGAGGAGTAGCAGGGGGAAAACAGAGCAAAAATCTGTCTATAATGTCTACCGACTGAAGTTATCTCAAACAGTATAAAGATTTGGAGCGTCTATGAAATACATTCTGCCTTAGCTTGATTATGAAAGTATTTTCTACCTCAGCTGGCATTTATAAAAACTTCTTTATTTCATAATTTTATAAACAAATATTTTCTTTTAATAATTTTAAAAAATCGTACTTACCCGTATTTTTATAAATCGAATTGGCACGCTGAACATGTCGCGTTATCGCCTCTATACTCGCTTCATCGGAACCCATTTTCTGGAAAAATGTATGATCGGCTTGCAGATACAACATACATGTTATTTTCCGATCATACAACGACTTTACACTACTCGGCGAGTCACCATAATCTCCACCACGATTACTTAGCAAACTGGTCATCAGCATGCTATTGAAATTCGGATTGTGAGGGTTAGGTGCCATCATTATTTCCGGATTATAATTATTAACAATGATATTGGGTTTTTTGGTGGCACCATTTTTCGTTATTATCTCAACATGGGTCTTATGTATGGGCCGATCATTACCCATAACAATTGTGGTCCAATTGTTGTTAAAGAATCCTCCGCCGCCATTGTTGTCATTGAAATCGTCATACGCTGATGATGAACGATTGTTGTAGGTGCTGACAATGATATTTTTATGTTTGGTATAGGTTTTCCTGACATTATTGTTGTTGTATGAAATGTCTCCATTGTTGTTGTTGTTATTATTGTTAGGATTATAATTACTAACAATTATGTTGCGGTTGCGATTATATTTCGTCGACGATGATGAGGCCGAGGAGGAGGGTGTAAATGGTGGCGGTGGAGTGTTGGCTGACGTATCTGACACCTTGGTCTGTTGCTGCTGGCCAGCATTACGCCACGTTATCACAGATGCTTGTTGCGTTTTACGCTGTTGTTCTTTATTGGTATTCGCTAATGTAGCGCCGGTTGAAGTGGATTCGGAATTTGTATCCGCATTATGGTAAATACTGTAGTCATCATTGTAGGGAACATCTAAATCCAAAGGCAACGGTGGGTCGTTTTTATGGCCATCACCAGATGAAGCCAGCTGCAAGAAAAGAAAAAAAGAAACAACAAAATGATGAGGAGATCTAAACAAAACAATGAGAAAATAAATTAAAAACAAAGATACCAAAATTGTAGGACAAAAGGATTAATGACAGGGGGAAACAATTGGCAAAAGGATTTTCATTCAATGTTCAAAGTAAAATCTCCCAAAAAGATGATTGGTACTTTTATACCGATCCTTGCCAAAACACATGTGTTTATTTCCAGAGACTTTTGTTTTTGTTATTTTTGTTTCAGTTGAGCCCAAAATAATGGGCGTACAAAGGAGAAAAAATAAATTGAAAGGTTTGTCTTCATTACCATATAATACTGGTTGCAGGATGTGCACAATGCTAACAATTTAAAGAATAACAACATTATTTGGCCCTCATAAAAATGGATATACACATAAATAACAATTTTTTTCAATGGAAAAAGGTAGTATTCCTGACGAATGTTTTTTCTATAGAAGAAGAGACTTCCCCAAGGAAAATTCCTGATAATTGTTTTCTATAGAAAAAAAGAGAAAGGAAAAATTCCTGACGATTATTGTTTTCTATAGAAAAAAGAGAAAGGAAAAATTCCTGACGATTTTTTTATAGAAAAAGAGACTTCCTTAGGAAGCATTCCTGACGATTTTTT